TAGAGGTAACACCCAGCACCTTGAATTGCACCTGGAAGCTTACTGGTAACAGTTCAACTTGTACAGCAGAGGTGTTACATGGGCATAGTGAGGGACACCCAACTCCTGCATTGCTGCATTCTGGACCAGCTACAGCTTCTGAGTGGTCTTCAAGGGACAGCGCCTTATAAGGTTCATTGCAATAGTCCACACACAAGGTGATTAAGGCACAAGTGACTATAGATTCATACATCAGGGGAAGTCTAAAAAAGCTTAAGCTGCCACCTCCCTTTATTCAATCCTTCCAGATGAGTAGAACTTCATCTCTCATTAGCAACATGGGCTGGGAATTGTGAGAATTTTAGTTTGTATCTGGAGGTCTGGGAAGGCTCTATTGGCTTTCCTTAGGATAATAGAGTTGGAAGGGATCTTTTAGGCCATTGAGTCCAACCCCGTGTCTGCAGGAATCCAGATTAAAGCATCCCAGACAGACAGCTGCCTGACCTCCACCTGAATATATCCAGTGAAAGGGAACCCACCACTTCTCTGTGTAATCTGTTCCACTGTAAAACTGCTCAGTTAGGATTTTTCCCCCCTAACATTTAAGCAGAATCTGACTTCCAGTAATTCCATATCCTGGACTTCGAGCGTGATAGAGGAAAAAGTCCTGATTTTCTTTGTGACATCTTTTGAAATATTTGATGAATGCTATCATGACCTCTGTCAGATTTATCCAAGCCAAACATGCCCAGCTCCTCCAGTTTCTCTCTATAGGATTTGCTTTCTGATCTCCTGATCATCCCTGTGATTGTTTTATGTGCTTGGCTGCCATTTTATATTAGTTATTTATATGCTGTATTGTTGTTGTGTGGCTTTTTTTCTTTGACTGACTGACTTATAAATTTACTTTATGCTGTTCGCTGTCCAGAGTGGTTGAGTTGGGCAGCCTTATAAATCAATAAAACAAACAGACAAATTCCCTTTCTCTGTTCCAGTTTCCCTGTTAGCCAGAACAGGACAGAGTAATTTTTGTATCTGACCAATACAAAATAAAGTTCAATGATTACTTCTTGTGATTTGGAAACTAAACTTCTGTGGTCACAGGCGAAAGCAGCATTTTGTCTTTTCTGCAGCCACATCACATGGCCAACTCTTATTTAGTTTATAATCATCTGCTATTCCAAGATTTTTTATCACAAATACAATTGCCAATTTGGGTATTCCCCATTCTACACTTGTGTATTCAGATTTTTTTTTTTAAGTGAAGAACTTTGCATTTCTCTAAATTAAATTTCATTTTATTATTTTCCCTAATTTATCAAATTCATTTTGGACTTCATTTTTGTTTTCTAGGTTGTTAGGAAAAAAAACTCTAGGAAATCTTTCAGTGACTCCTTATCAAACTGGGATGCCATAAGAGGAGCACTCTTTCAGTATAATTTTCAAGCCAGATGTGTATCCAGTTAACTATAATGCCAGTCAGTCCACACTTAATTAGTTTGCTAATCAGAATGTCATGGTGTACTTTGTTAAACACTTTCTGGAAATCAAGCGATAATCTTTCAATAGCTTTCCCACAATTTTCTAATCAGTTACCTGATCAAAAACTGAGATAAAGTTTATATTGGCGTGATGTGTTCTTGACAAATTCATGCTGACTTCTGATAACCACATCCTTTTCAAAGTGCTTACAGACCAATCTCTCCATGATCTGCTGTGGGATCTTCTTAAGGTTTTGGCGTCAGGCTAACCTGGGTCTAGGTTCCTGGATCCTCCTTTTATCCCTTTTTTAATCTTTGCCCTCTTCCAGTCAGGTGGCACTTCATGAGTTCAGCCATACCATCTGCAAGTACCTGTTTGTTAATTGTTTATTTCTTTGCTAATTGTTTTGTTATTTATTTCTTTGCTAATTGTTTTGTTAATTATTTCTAGCCAACTGCTAAAATGACATCTGTGTTTTTAAAAAAAAAAATGGGAGAATTCCCACAGAAGTGAAGAAGTAATTCAACTACTTGTCTGTCTAGAAAGTTAGCAAATATCTGTAAAAAGATGACAGATATTCTGGGGTAAAGGCAAATTAAAAATGAAATCCCACATTGCAGACCGGATTTATACTTAGGAAAAGTACAGGTAATCCTCGCTTAATGACCATAATCAGGACTGGCAACTCCATTGCTAAGTGAATGGTTGTTAAGGGAAACATTAGGCGATTGCATCCAATTTACAACATCAGTTCCACTCCGGTCATTAAGTGAATCACCTACAGTCATTAATTGCAACATCACATAACTGTGACTTGCAACTTACTGCCGGTTTTTCCACTGACTTTGCTTGTCAGAAGCTGGCTTGCAAAAGGAATCACATGACCGCAGGACACTGTGACCATAGTAAATGTGTGCTGGTTGCCAAGCACCTGAATTGTGATCACATGACCCTGGGAATGCTGCTACTGTCATAAGTGCGAGGACCAGTCGTAAAACTACTTTTTCAGCACTGTCGTAAGTTCAAATGGTCTCTAAACAGGGCAGTAGTTCCACTGGGACATCAGAATATTGGATAGACAGCTTCCATGCAGAGTCAGTGACAGCATTTTATCCTTGGACTGTTTGCAGCACCCCACTACTTCTTGTCCTGGGTACTTAGGCATCTGAAAAAGGGAATAAGTGATGTGCAGCCATAATAAGTTGCTTTATTCCAGACAAGAAGTCATATATATGCAGGATATCTGCCTATTGCAGATTGTAAGAATGTGTGTGTGTGAGAGAGACAGAGGGAAAGAGGGTGCACTCCAAGGATTAAATCCTAGGTCTTTCTCTCCTGTTCTTTCAAATCAACAGACTTTTTATGTGTTTTTCTGACCTTGAGAATCAGAAATATCTATTCCACATTTACTTAACAATTCTGACTGCCCCGAGAATTGTTGCTTCCTGTCTCACAGTTCAGCCCTTCTCCCACCGCAGCCAGGATCCTCTAACAGAAGAGTGGACACCTCAGCAGACACTGCCCCACATCTTCTAAAATCACAAAACCTTCCTTGGTTTGAAGATCTACGTGCATACAAATTAGCCATACTTTTAAATCATAAAATAATTGGTATGAGTACCTGTGGCTTCATTATACTTGCTGGACACATGGATGATGTCTTCTCCCTGGAACTGTCATCTGCTACACCTGCAGTATAGCAGGAAGACCCAGCTTTGGACCAAGTCTTGTTTCCATTGGCTTGTGTGGCTTAGAGATGCCTTGGTCCTTTATGCAAATACATCTGTGCTAGAAAGAAGTACTAATAAGAGGTACTATAGCAAGTTATATTTGTATGCAGTAACCTTAGCAAAAGTTTGAATAAGTATTTTCCTGTGCAAATGCTACATGGATAGGATGAGATTAATCTTTCCATAGGGACATATGGGTGGTGCATACATCTGTCTGGCTCTGCAAAGCAGCCACACAAACTTGCAGAAGGTGCAACTATTTTAATAATTTGAAGAGATGGCTTCATTTGTGCTACCACATGTTGCAAAACTCCTCTTTCAAATGCCTTGTACTATCTTGACTAATAGTAACTTGGGGATAAGGCAAATAGTGTTGAGATGAAGCCCATGGCTGCCAAAATTAAATGTCCAGGGTTACAGAATTTGGGCTGCAAAAATCTGTTAAAGAATATTTTGTATCTCCAGTGTGTACTCTGACTGAATGGAACTGTGAAAGGATTTCAGGGTATATATTATAAAAAAGACATCTAACCACGGTAGGAGACTAAAACCAGTTCATAGTAAATTCTCAATACCGAGAGGGGCCTTCGTTCCATCTGCGTTGCAGAAAACTCTGAAATAAAATATGGAAATGGGAGGAAGTCCATCTTCTGTCCTCAAGGGAAAGGCTGGGAAGTATCTGGGAACTGCAGCAAAGGCTGGTAAAAACACACACTAAATAAATAAGGCTGGACTTTATTTATCAGGTCCCAAATGTCCCACTTTCTGTAGCATTCATTATTTGATTTTTTTTTTTAAATCACAGCTTTCCAAGAGCTCAAAAGAGGATTATCAGCCTGTTGCTCGCATTTCCTTGAATTGTTTTGCCTATGAAATGTCCATGCATTTTCTTTCCCCCTGCTTCTTAATGTAGACATGACATTTTGTAATTAAACTTTATAGTGGTGGTCTTGCAATTTGTCATTACAATCTTTTTGTCAGCTTAGAACAGGGCTGGACAATCTGAAACCCTCCATCCCTCCAAAAGTTGCTGCTCAGAAATTCTTAATGTGACCAAAAGGGAACATGATTAAGTTCATGTGCAGCAATCATATTAACTGCTTTTAACTGATTTAAATAGAATTCTATTTTCATATTTTTCTGGCCACACCCTCTCAGTCTTAGCCCTACCCCAGCATGCCCCTTAAAGGAACATGAGGCTTTCAGCCTGAGAAAGACTGCGTTGGGGATTCAAATATTGTTTCTCAACCTTGGCAATTTTAAGATGTGTGGACTTCAACTCCCAGAATTCCCCAGCCAGCCATGCTGATCTAGATCATATAGTCTGGGAGTATGCTGTTGCAAAAGAGATAGTTCTATCAAACAACCTTGTTTGTTTGCTTGGGACTTTGAGCAAACAAGACTTGCCCCTTTTATATTTGCGTTCTTATACCGAGAGCCCTTCTGTTGCTCATCCCTGCGGCTTTCCTTTCCTAGCTAGCGCTCGGTTCCCAGAAAGAGCAGCCTTTGCTAAAGCCCTGATGCCGCAGACTCAAGTTACAGGGAAAGGAGTGGCCCTATGCAAATGAAAGAGGCCCTTTGAAAAACAAAAGCACCTGACAGGCCTGGGAAGTTAAATGTAAAGTTCAGAGGATGGAATTCCCGCCCAGGATACAAACCTACCTGTCCTCGCCACTCTTTCACTGCTCCAGGACACCTGAGGGATGCAACCTAGAGAAAGAGAAGCTGCCGCTGTGCGTGGGAAACAGTGCTTGACCCATGCGGGGCTCTTAGGTCTTCTTGATCCTCGGGTGCCACGGTCACCCGAAAGTTGCTGGGTTGGTTTTTTGGTTCAGCTGCTTTAAAAAAGAAACCAATATCCAACTGCAACATTTTGTGCTTCAACTCATACCCCCTTTTCAAAAGAGGAAGCCGAAGGGTGTCCCTTCCGGCTCCTCAAGCGATGCCGCCCCAGGAGCTATTGGATTACTCGCCCACCTTGCGAAGAAGCAGCTGCCCCAGCAGAGGCAGCGGCTCAGAGCTGGGCATCAAGTGTGTCCTCATCGGGGATGGAGCGGTGGGCAAAACCAGCCTGATCGTCAGCTACACGACAAACGGATACCCGGACCAGTACCAACCAACTGCCCTGGACACCTTCTCAGGTAGGCAAAGCAGAAATCTGAGTCTGTCGAGGCAGGTCAGAGGTCTTTTGCTCTGGGTGGCTTCTCCTTGGTTTAGCCCAGTGTTTTTCGAAAAGATACAGCAATTAATATAATGGGATGACCCATCCATTATTGATTTCAGTGGTGCTTATTTGCCAAAAAGTGTGCTCGTAGGTTCCGTTCTGTTTTATTTTCGCGGCACAGCCACTGTGGAGAAAAATGAACAGCAATTTAGCAGGTGACTTTTTCTCAAGAGGCTGATAGTTATTTGAAAAATATCCCTTTTATATGGGAACCTTGTAATGAGAAAAAGGAAGAAAGGCAAATCCCTCTGTAATCTTTATGTCAAACAAAAGTTTTTGATCCTTTCTTATTTATTAAGTGTTGAGCTGGAACAGGAGAAATGACAGAGGACTATTGTCAACAAGTTTTCTCATGCTTTGTGAAAAACCAAATGTCTAATCAAATGGGAAGTAACTGATCTTTATTCTTGTAAGTTTCATTCCTGGTACAGTTTTATGCATGTCTGCTCCAAAGTCAATCTTGTTGAGGTCAATGTGGCATTCCTAGGTAAATGTGTATAGAATTGCAATCTACCGTCTTGAAATTTAGTGGTATTATGTATCCTGCAGAGTCCCATCTTAATACTGAAGTATTTCATAACCCTGAGAAGTTCTCAAGAAAGAAACTATTATAGACACATCTTGAACTCAAAAAGAGGTTACAAAGGAAAATATTTTAGCCTTTCACCTGAAACCTGGGTGGTAACACTCTCACTCACCTAGCAGTGCAAGACATCTAGTCTGCTTGACTTGTTTGAGGCGTCCTTAATTGCTAAAGTAAAGCTGAGAGAGCATTACCTTTAAATTGTTTTTCCAGTTAAAGTATAGGAAAGAGCAGATAATTGTATGCCATTTGAAAGTGTGTCAGTAATTCATTTATAAGGATGAAACTCCAAAAGCACATGGGGGTTGATTATCCCAAGTATCAGCTTCCTACACTCCAGATCATGTAGCACAAGACTAAACTGGAAGTGCAGGAAGGATGACTGTAGATTACCCCTCCCCCCCAAGAAGGTATACATTCAGTTGACTAGCTAAGCTTAGCAATTGACAAACCAGCCGAGCTCCAGCATTGCAATTCTGTGCATGCCTACTCAAAAGTAAATCCCATTAAGATCAATGAGAGTTCCTCCCTAGAAAGTATGTATAGGATGGCTGTCTAAACAAACTTTTATAGCAGTTATAGAATAAGGTGGTGCTAGATTTTTGTGAGCTAGGGTAGATAATCCATCTGATTCATTCTTTTATTATTTCCAGTTTATCTAGTGTCTGACTGATTATGTGCCATCGAGACAGTGTCAACTTAGTGACTACATAGATAGTTCTTCTGCAAAATGATCTAATGATTATTATGGGCATCTATAATCTATACCTCTATCTATTCATCTTGTACAAATACTGTAGTATATATCTTTTTTAAAAATGGCTTTTGAGATAAAGATTTCTCAACTGATTTCACTTCTGTTTATGTTTTTAATCTTGAAAATTATGTTGAATCAATGATTCTAGATACCGGGTCCACATTTAAAAATAAATAGAACATGCAACATTGAAAACAATAGAACATCTGCTTGCATTAGAAGAGTCATCTCCTAGAATGCCAAAGTTCTCATCTCCCAGTCTATCATGTGAGGGTGACTGGCTGTCAGCAATCTCTTAATGCTCCTGGAAGCCTGTTAGTCAAAGCATCCCACTCTCTGTAGAGTTTCTGTTATTTGGTCTGAATATAACCTTGTAAGGAGGGAAATAGGAAGTGCAGTTAGAACCAGCTGAGACAGTTTCTGTTCTTGATATTTTCTGTACGTTGCTATTGTTTCCTCTCTAACCTGGTGCCTTCCACATGGGTTTGCTCATCTTTCAGAATTCCCAGCTAGCACCGTCATTAGAGAAGGGTTAAGAGTACTTAACTCTTGGGATTAAGGAATGTGGAGTTATTTGTGGTACAGTACAGAATATAGCTAAGGGTGTTAGATGAAAATGAGCATATTGGAATTTTGGAATTTATTTTTTACTTTTAAGTAATTATCACTCAAAAGCCAAGAAGGATTTGAAATATATATGGGCTCTCAGAATGTGTCCGAAATTTCAGAGGAAGAGAGGCCAGCCATCTCCAACCTGGTGCCTTCCAGATATATTGAACTTCAGCAAAAGGCACAGCAAAAGGAACTGCTGTAATAAAATGGCAGTGAACTGGAGCTCCATGAAACCCCAATCTGAATTTCATTTTTGCCATGAGCTCACTATATGACTTCCTTATACTCAGTCCATCTTCCCATCTGTAGCATAGGATCCTAAAGCTATATTGACCATCTTGCAGCATTTGTTGTAAGGGTTATTCATAACATGTATTCATAGAATCGTGCAATGAAAGAGTTGGAAGAGAAGTTGAGATCACTTACTCCAACATCCTGCCCAGTGTAAAATTGCATCTGAACCCTCTGAAGTGCCTGAACTCCTTTCACAAATGTAAGAGCCCTCAAATTTGGCCTTTTGACATTTGGGGTTGGTTAAGAAGCAAAATAGGTTTCTTAACCCTTCCAGAAGCTTAAAGCAGGCTCAATTTGGGTTCTAGCCCCATCCACTTTTGGAGTGTCTTGCTTAATTCTAGTTTGTTAATGACAATAATAACCTGGATCAGACTAAGTCATAAACTAGTTTATAAGTGACAATGACTGGATTAGCACACAGTATATGAACACAATTGCTGCCTCTGTTAAGCCAGCCTGCTCCAACCTGATACCTTGAATTCTCAAAGTTATAGTCCTAATATACGTGGAGAGGACCAGGTTGGGGCAGGCTGAAAGTGATATGTCTGCTGTTTTAATCTAGAAACTTGATGTGGCCTGTATTCCCAAGTAAACTAACTATGTGCAAACCAAGAGACAGTCTGTGATTCAGTGAACTATGGCTTGAATTTTATATTATAGTATATCGTTTAAGTTTCTATTACAGGGATCTGTACTTTTCCTTAGATCAGTCTTTTCTTAGCAAGTGTTCTCTATATGTTCTCCTTTCCTAAACAATGCTACAAGAGTAATATTGGGTCTACTCTTTTGAAAATTCCTTAAAAATGTACCCTAGTAGAATGAGAGTCTGAGCCCTCCAGATACAACTCCCAACAACCCCAAGTGAGAAGGCCAATAGTGAGAGTTGCTGGAAGCTGTACTTGAACAACATCTGGAACTGGAAGGCCAGATGTTCCCCTCCCTGCTTTGATTAAGGCCAAGTATTGAATGCCAGAAAGACCATGCTGTCTGTGCCTTTTCTTCTGTTTCCAGGACAGCAGATCTCTAACCTTTGGGGGACCAGGCGAGGACTACTCCTGATGAGGGACCACTACTGGTTGCAGTTTTCCTTATCTGCAACTTGCTGTAGATCAGTGTTTCTCAACCTTGGCAGTTCTAAGAAGTCTACACATCTTAGAGTTGCTAAGGTTGAGAAACACTGCTTTACATGATATGACTTCCCCAGAACAATTTCCAAAGATGCTTGTTTGTTTTCAGCACTTCTCCAAGGACTCCAAGCACCAGGATACAATGCAGTCTTATCTTTCTCTTTTTTCATCTTCTTATAGCAGCAACCCTGAAAGATAGACCTCTCTAGGGCCGCCCAATGAGCTTTCATAGATTTGATCCTTGGATGTTACATCCACATCTAGCCCAGTCAGTGGGCTTCAGTAGACTGGAGTGCTTCAAACAGAATCCATACAGTCACTCTCATTTGTTTTCCTTGCCATTTTAGTTCAACGAAATGAGGGAATGTTAATTGTTTTCTAGTTTATGAACAGGCTGAATCCAGCCACACATCCAAATCTCAGCAGCTATAATTGGAACCCTAATCTGTTTTAGAATAATCTCACACAGGGTTTTCCACCCAATGAAATTGCACTAAACATTTGCTTTTATGTCTTGTGTGTTGGTGAGGACATCCTCTTAAGGCTGAGCTTCTTTGGAGGAAATATCATATTTTCCTAGCCTCAAAACTTAGTATTTGGCATCATTTACCAAATAGCATATTATCTAATATATTGTTTACAATTGACTATGCCCCTGGAGTAAAACAGGGCTAACATTTGCTGGAAAGTTTTTCTCTTCAAACATGCAAGGAATGGAATTTTGCTTCACTGTGGTTAGGTTCACATATCACACTAAGCTATGTTTTATGTCAGTGTTGTCCAAACTTGGCCACTTTAAGATGAGTGGACTTCAACTCCCAGAAT